TAAATAGGTGATATACAGTATGTATCTACATAATAGTCAGGTTATATACAGTATTGAGAGGTTTTGTAGATGGAAATGATCAAGTGGAAAAATTCTATACCGGTATACAATTATTAGACCTAGTAAACAGGATTCAGGAACAGCTGCAAAATATGCAACTACATGTCCCTGGTAGCAGGCTTTTAGCCAGAAGGGCGTCCAGGCGTCCTGGGACGCCTCTAGAACAAAAAATGGACGCCTTTGGACGCCCAAATTCTGGGAGAAAAGGGAAATTATTTTGAACTGCAAACTAAGTATATTAATATATCCGAAACGAAATAGCTTCACTTCTTATTATCATTATACATTTGACATTTTGATCAATTTGATGGTGTACCTGGCTGAATGAGAATGTTGTAGTTAAGTAAAGAAGCATAGTATTGTCCTTCATAAATTGTTTGGTTGAATTGCTGGTGTGCTTGGGGTCATTGTCTTGCCACATACGGTGGCCTTCGGGATAATTATCTTTGATGAACGGCAGCAAATTTCTCTGTAGTATTTTTTGATACCCCATGCTTTCCATGCATCCAGTGAAGATGCAAACTTGAGTTGCTCCTTTGCATGATATTCCACCCCAAACATGAACCTTTTAAAAAACAAAACAAAATGTTAAACAATTTGCCTCGGCTTCTCTTGGGAAACTTTTCCGCAGGTTCAATTCCTGAACCATTAATTTGAGTGAGATGCCAACAAATTGATTTTAAATTCACCTGATGAGTGTGGCAAGCATTGCTTGTCATACGAGTAGTGAATAAAATCTTATGAAGTAAACCAGGTTTATTACATGAAATTGTGAAATTGTGGCTAGAGCTCAGCAACTGGCCTCTTTCAGCTCAGTTGGTTAGAGCGCTGCCCCGGTGTCCCAGCAGATTTGGACCCCTCTCAAAATGGACCCCCTGGTCCAAATCCGCTAGCGAATATGGACCGGGGAGTCCATATCCGCTAGCGAATATGGGCCTATGGGGGTCTTTATTCGCTAGCGGATTTGGACCCCCCTCACGAATTTGGACCCCTCGCGTATTTTATCATTGTATCGTATTGTAAAAAACAGTACGAAGATTTTTAGATTAAAAAATTCCATCAAAGCTTAGATTTTTAGATTAAAGAATTCCGTCAAAGTTTATGATTTATAATTTTTCTGCAACATGGGTTTATTTCTATGATTTTGGAATGTGCGGGAAGTGCATGAAGCCTTCACAAGTATTTTACTCCTTGGAATTGCTATCTGCTCTACCAATGTGAATTGTGTGACAACTGGTTTCACATGATTTGTGAACATGTACTGAGAACGAACCTGAAGGCGAGTGACTCTGCAGAGGATGTGAACTTCCATCACCCAGCACAAAACGCTTGAAACTTTTTAAAAATGAACGTTGAGACTTTCATGCTAATCACATGCTATTGTTAATAAATTTGTTATTATATTGTTATTAGCTAATAAATATTGTGCAAACCTTTCGTAAATGTTTGATCCCAGTTTGGAATTACTTTAGTATCGTTAGATTTTTAGGCGAAGCTGGTTATTTTGATCTCGAGAATATGTATATTATCTATAATTTCATCATAGATAGTCCACAACTACTCGTATAATTAATTCTTAAATCGAAAAATTTCTTCTTTCTGTGAATTTTAGGGGGTCCAATTCCGCGGAAGGGGGTACATATCAGCTAGCGGATATGTACCGTAGGGGTCCGAATCCGCTAGCGGATATGTACCGGGGGGTCCATATCCGCGGGGAGTCCAAATCCGCTGTGACACCGGAATCACAGGGCCACAGGTTTGATTCCTGTCTAATAATTGTATATAGCATTTTTCCACTCAATCATTTCAATCTACAAAACTGTCAACCATTAAATTGAGTGAGATGCCAACAAAATATTAATATGAGCAGAAAAATCTATTTTGACTTTGGACATATTCAAATATATATAGATATATATATTCAGGATTTAGCATCTTTGTTTTGCAGTCCGTTTTAAAAAGTTTATCAGTTTATATAATTTAAAAAGGTTGAGGATTTCACCAGAGCTACTAACGACATGATTAATTACTATTTCCCGGAGAGAACAGTTCGAATGCACTCCGATGATAAATTTTTTATAACAACAAAAATAAAAAAGTTACTAAGGAAGCGAGATAACGCATACAAACAAGGAAGAATGCAGAAGTTTAGGAAACTTCGTAATAGAGTAGCATCGGAAATTACAAAGGCAAAGAGGCACTATTATGTAATGAACATTGGAAGACTGAATACCAACGGGGATGCCCGAATGTGGTGGAAGAAGGTCTGGAAACTGACTGGAAAGAAGAAACCTTCTATCAATCTCAGTGAACAGGGATCAGACTCCAAACTCGAAGATAGTGATGCTGCAAATATGATTAATACGTTTTTTGCAGATCTAACAAATGATTTCCCAGAAATTCAATCCAGATGGTCATTGTACGGTCATTCAGATGTCTTGCCGACTGTTACACCCGAAAGCGTTGCGAAAAAGCTTTTGTCCATTTAGTCTTACAAAGCTCCCGGTCCAAACGACCCCTACCTCAAGATAATCAAAATGTTTGCGCATTCTTTTGCCATCCCATTAGCAAACATTTTTAATGCATCATTTGGGCAGAAGGTGTTTCCAAAACTGTGGAAAGAGTTCCGCCTAGCACCTATACCAAAAGTGGAACCGTGCACGAATCTGGATGAAATAAGACCAATAGCTCTCACTAGCACAATTTCGAAAATACAGGAGTCTTACGTGGTTGATTGGATGTATGACGATATTGAGTCTAAAATTTGTAAGGAACAGTATGGTGGTGTCCCACGCTCGTCAGCAGTTCTTGCACTCGTTCACCTTTTACACAAATGGAATAAAGCGTTGGACTTATCACAACGAGTAATACGAATTGTGTTTTTGGACTTTCGCAAGGCATTTGATCTTATTGATCACAACCTGCTATTAGACAACTGTTGTAAAATTGGAGTCAGACCGGGGCTTATTGGCTGGTTGGGGTCATATCTGAGTAAGAGGATGCAAGTCACAAGATTTGGTAACGAACTTTCTGCAAGATGCATGATTAAGGGGGAGTTCCCCAAGGTAGTCGTATTGGTCCAATCGCGTTCGTCGTTCACATTAACGGACTGAAGGCAGTAATAAAAGATACCGAGAGCAGTTTGACTAATTCAAGCAATGATGATAATGATGATGGTGATGATGACCTCACTCTTTTCATGGATGATACAACATTGTCAGAGGTTATTAACGTCCGTGATCATGTCGCGGGTACGCAAGTTGGGAATATGAACAATAATATTATGAAAGTTATGGATTTTGCCACGTCTCAAAAAATGGAGTTGAACCTGAAAAAATGTAAGGAAATGCAGTTAGACTTCCGTCAGAACAAAACAGTTATTCCACCACTAACATTCAATGATACAACGTTGGAAAGCGTTTCAACTTTCAAACTATTGGGCTTATGGATTGACGATAATTTAAAGTGGCAAACTAATACTGATTATATAATAGGGAAAGCAGTTAAGCGACTCTTTTTATTAAAAACTTTAAAGAAATACGGTGCTGACAAGATTGATATGAAACGGTTTTACATCTCTGCAATCAGGCCGACACTTGAATATGGAGCGCAAGTCTGGCATGGGGGCCTTACTAAAGCACAGAGCAGCAGTATTGAGAAAGTACAAAGAAAGGCTTTGAGAATAATTTATTCCGAAAAAGATTACGAAAAGTTATTGTTGAAAGCTGGAATGCATACGCTTGAACAACGTCGCAAAACTATGTGCATTGATCTTATCAGTAAAATGTCTGACCCGCAACACAAACTGCACCATCTTCTTCCTAATAAACTTTGCATGGTACGGCAAAGGGTTACACGTCAGAATGGTCAATTGGTTTACAATTACCACTACAGAACAGAACGTTTTCGGAACAGTCCAATCGTTTCGTCAATTGAACTCTATAATAACTCTATTTTATAATATAATATATAATATAACTTTATATATTTTTATCGAAACATTAACACGTAGTGATAGTTTTTGGATCAGTCCATTAGTTTCGCCATTTGAACCTTTGTTAATAACTCTCTTTTTTTAATATAAATATCTCATTTGAAACTTTTATAATACCTAATGTAGATAGTTTAGTAATTAATGTATATTTTATATATATATATATGTAATGCGCGTTCTAATTTAGTTACTTACTGTAGCTATTCAATGCGTAATCTTTCTATAATAATAATAATAATAAAAAATACTTCTGTAGTCTGCCAGTAAGTTGACTTGCAACGAACTTTTCATTTTGATTTGCAAAACACCCAGAAGTATTTGGATTCATTAATTACATTTTTTCAATCTGTGCATGCTCACCTGTACGTTTCGGTACGGTTGAAGTGAAAAACTGGCTTTAGAAAATATAAAATAAGGTAACCTTGCCTTGCACACAGGGCCGTAGCTATAGGGGCACCCCCTGAAAACGTCTTCGGGGAAAATAGCCGTTTTATCAGCAAATCGTTTTTGTAACCAGCGAAAATGTTCAAGTGGCTCGGATTAAAAAGTAATAGTTATAGCAAAAATGTTTATAAATTAATGAAAATATTACCGAAAAATTTAAGAAACTACAATAAATTAGTCCGTAATGAATTGGAAAGTTTGTGAACAATGGTATGTCCGGAAAATCCCCCCCCCCCAAATTTATGGGGAAAATATTTATTATTAATTAAAATTAGCTGCTTAAATGTTGTCGGCAAATGAGATAATACACCCCCCAGCTTTAGCCTCTTCGCTACGGCCCTGCTTGCACATGATCCAAGGGAGGTCTAGAAAGCATCCATCATCCAATCTTCTTCAAGTATATCTTCTTCAACCAGATCTTCCATTCCTTCAACGGGGGCTTCCAATATTGGAGGTTCCACGGCAGGTCTGTGAAGGCGATGACGGACGGTAGTAAGGTTACGTACTGGCAAAAAGCAACGCCCTGGTGCGAATATGGATGAGTCTTCTCGTCTGTTAACAACTAGCCTGTGAAGCCGGAATAGATGATCTTTTGGTTCTATGTCTTCTGGGATCTCATCAGCTTCATTAAAACTTGGCAATTCATCATCAAAATCTCTGAAGCGCTCATTGCTTGTCCAGTAGTAAAATGGCAAATCTTTGTCAATTCGTTTGCAATACTCTCTAAAGGAAAATATATATGTATAAATGTTTTGTATTGCCCTTCATGTACACTATGTATACTATACCTCACAACTTTTCTCCATAAAGATTTCATATCTTTCACTGTAAAGATATTGCCAAGGAAACGGTGCAACAATGAGATAAATGTCTCTACATCATCTGAAGTGCCAGCTCTAGGATGTTCTGGATATCCAATTCTATCAGATTATCTTCTGCGATATTCAATGCTTTCGATGTTTGTAGTGACAGCAATCACAGTCTCTCTGGAGAACCCACAAATTCCTTTGATTGGTCTAGAAAATAAACAAAACAGAAAACAATTCTACATATTTTCATAGTGTATATATCGTAATTAAGTAATTACAAGTAAACATTTTCATATCATTGTGTTGAAATAATGAGCTATTGATATTGTTTCTATCATAATTATACAGTACCTGTTGATGTCAATGGTACCAAAATTATGTGTTGTCTTATGCCATGGCATCCAGTCATCCAAAACCATGTTGAGCATAGCGTAGTTCTTTCTGCATCGCTCAAGCTCGAAAAGACTTCTGCCATCTGCTGCCTCATGCCATCCTGAAACAATGTTAACATACTCTCCTTCCTTCTCATAACCATTTTCACTAAGAAACTTGGCAACAAGGTACGATAACATTCTTTCAGCGTCAACCACAGATTGTTTTCTTTCACCAGTAAGGGCTGCAAATGTCAACCCAGTTTTTGGATAACGCATTACATCATCAACGGATTATTCAAAGCCTTGTAAGTTTGTTCCAGGTGGCCCTGCTTCCCTTGTGTGTTTCCAAATTCGCTTTAGAATGTGGCAGTGATCTTCCCTTTCATGAAATGCTTCAATTCGTCAGTCCCTTCAACAATCTCTGGGATGTAAAGATGGGTTGAAAAATCTACACCCTCTGATACACACTTGGCGACAGTTGCTCTGAATCGATATGTTGCAACAATGGATTTAATTATATCGTCCTGGCTTTCTTCCACTACATTTCTGAATGGATAAGGTTCATATCCTTCTGGAACTAAGGACATCCTTACGCACTTTAGAGCATCAAATAGACTTAATCCATCATGTCTCAAGTTATGCAGTAGGTTGATATCATCAGAAGGTATTGTTAGGTCGACATTTTCTGTAACAGGCATTCCATTTCCATCAACTTAAAATGATATCAAAAGAATATTTTTATTATGCTAGTAATGCTTAAGAAATTCACTTTTTTCCAATGGGGGGTATAACAAGTCTCTATAAGTTTCTGACAAATGACAACCTTCAAATTTCAGCTGGAAAGCACCCCAATTCACATTTGGATATAGGCTGTTTTTAGCTCTTAATTTCCTTCAACCAACATTCCCACAATTAATTGGTAACCATACGGTGACAAACATAATGAAATTAGGTACATACAGTATGGTTGAAATATTAGGTACATACAGTATGGTTAGAAAAAATATTAGGTACATACAGTATGGTTGAACACCAATGCAAACTGATTGATGCACTGTGATAAGGTTTCAAACATATTCCCAAAAGGCGAATTTATGGCACGCTGCTAGTAAATAGGTAAAATTACAGTACCGTTACAGTACCTCCTATCCTGACAAGGAATTTTAATAAAGATCCTCCAGATTTTTTGTTGACACTTTCACGAGCATTTCGTATCAATTGCACCAAGTGTAATGGGCGTGTCTCTCCTTTAGTTCACAAGCTGTTAAATTCCCCATCAGTAACAAAACCTAATTATGTAATTAGAACAATTAGAATAATCATAATTGTGAGAAAGTGTCACTTGTGGGCATGTGTCACAATATTGTTGGGTTAACTAAGTATTTACTAAAATATGACTTTGTGAATGGGCAAAGCAAAACAAATTCTGGCAATGTAATTAGTGAATGAGAAAATTGGGTGCAAACAAAATTTTTTCCAATCAAACACATTGAACAAATTTGCATTCCATCAGGAAAAATTGCCCAGTAGGAAATAACATGTGTCACATTGTCATCAGCCTCACTTACTTTTTTCCTAGTTTTTACCATAAACTTCCAAATATAAGCCCCCATCCCCGAATATAAGCCCACCGTGTATAATAAGCCCACCACATGTACTAACGCTCACCTAGCTCATTCCAAATATAAGCCCCCCCCCCCCAAATATAAGTCTTTATAGCTTAATATGTTAATCAAAGCGTGTTATTAATACATATTTATTTTCCTGTTTATGACTGCATGACTTGTTTATTACTAATTCAAAAGATCATCCATGTACAAGACCCCTCCAATATATAAGCCCCCCTTGTATGAACCCATAAAAAAGATACCACTGACTGTCTGTAATAGTCACTCATTGCACGAAAACGTTATAATGCATAAGATCTATTGACACATCAAGTTTTAGCCTACATTAGGGGATCTAAGAGGCATGCAGTCAAGTTTGTTCATTATCACATAGTTTACATTCTATGAATATCTATTTTTTTAAATACATAGCATGTTTATGTTTGGACTTGACCCCTTTAAGGGTGTAAACGTTCTCTGATTAAAAAGATTTATTTATTACAAGCTTACAACTGCCATCTTTCAACTGCCAACATCTTCGATGGGTAGATTAGAAAGCTTGATATAAATGAATCGAAAGCTTGTAATAAATAATCGAAAGTTTGTAATAAATAAATCTTTAAAGAAATAAATCAAAAGCTTGTAATAAATAAATCTTTTTAAACAGAACGTTTACACAATTATGATTCCTGCTTTCACTTCCAACATTTTTAAACCCTTTAAGGGTATTAAGTATTTATGCCAAACATTTGAGCCTAAATGTTGTGGTCCATAGTCGTTACAGATGGCATATGAGAAATAATAAATTTAATTGGCATGATTATATTTTACTCACCAATAGAAAGCATTCAAAAATTAGCCATCTCCTTTCTTATGTTATTTGTCAGCTCTCGCACAGTCTGGTCTTTCAACGAATGGTAGGGGATATATTGAATCGGAAGACAGTATGGTTTCTTGTTGCGACGTTCATCAGATAGAAGAAAAACGAACACATGCGTTGCTGCAGGTTGTCTTTTTTTCACAAACAAATTCCTCAGATATGTCTCCCATTCAGATGTTTTATCAGACATGCTATTTTGTACATGCAATACTTGAGAACTTTGGCCAATAGAGGCATTCAATGTTTTTACATAAGAAAGTAACCACTGGCATTGCTGTAATAGCTCACTGTATTCCACTCGTTCCCATGAAAGTTCCATGAGTACCTTTTTTGATGGATTTGGTGTTTTACTTTTGTCTGTATATGCTCTCTGTGCCTTCATTACACCTTGCACTAAAAACTGCTTATTAGTCTCCAGATCTACAGTTACTTTCTCGACATCATCTTTCACTTTCCTAATATCTTCCTGTGGTGATGCCAATTTATTAAATATCTTTAATCTCTCTTCATAATCAGTTCTTAATTCCTGAAGCTTTCCATCTCCTAAATCAGCATCTCCATTCCAAACACCTTTAACGGATTGCTGTAGAGCTGGTTTAATATCACAACCATCACCTTTGATCCAGAAACGCCCCGAATGATATGCAGCTTTCATGTCTTTTAGTGCTTGTTCCTATAAAAAAGCATAAAACGAATTGTCCAGCACATTTTACTGCACAGTAGTGTATCTATCTGACAGTGTTATTGCATTTTGAAGTACATGCAGTATGTAGATAATATTTTGTCAATAATATTAGTAATTATCAAATAGCAGATTAATAATTACCTGTATTACAGGCCCATTGCTGAATTCTGAAGATGCAGTTTTGGTTGCAACTGTCCTAGTTGAAATGCAGGCTACATTGACCTTTGCCTGGAATGGAAAATGGAATATTCAGTATACTGTTTTAATAATTAATACTCCATTATTATTAATAGAGTTAACCAGTATCTGGCAATGCACTTGATATGCACCCCATGCCAGACAATTCTAATTGGCAGTAGAATAGTATTACCATTCGGTACTGTATAACAAATATATTTCAAACACTCGTTAATAATTCATAAGCTTATATTTGGCAAATCATCATGTGAACCATATTTCACATGAAGAGGCTTTATACTTTAATTAAAACGCATTTTGATAAATTTGCGGTAAATTTATTATAATTTGTTATTAATGGTCCAAATATCACAAAAAAATTAATTTTAAGTCTTTTATTAAATAGCTGCTGAAAGTTTTAAATTTTTTGCACCAAGGCTTTTCACGCATGCTTAATCTATGCATTTACTTATTTATTTAAATGATATTATTATAAGTAATAGCATGGCATTCAGGTCGATTAGTGATTAAATGTACCCGAAAGAGGTTTAGTAAAAGTCCTGAGGCGCGTAGCGCCAAGGGACTTTTACTAAACCTCTCGAGGCTTGAGGGACATTTCATCACTAATCGACCGTAATGCCATGCTTTTACTTTGTAATATCATAGTTGCCGACGGAATCGCACGTGGTGTGTTGCCTGTTTTGAATGCTGTTTGATTGTCTTATGATTGTGGTACGAACACTTTTCATATATACGCACGCGCAGAAACACATCTCCGTGTTCATTCGTTTTAGGCATGCGCATAAACGGAATTTTCTCCCACAATTGTAATGTTCAAGATTAGGGAATAAAAGCTGGCAAAGTGATTGTTCGAATGTGTACGGGACGGTGTCGTCAGATACTGTCCATAGTTGTGCCGATGATTTTCGATGAGGTACAGCTCTCCAATCAGAGGTAATGAGGTACGCTTTTGTCTTCTAAATTTCCCTCATCAAGCATGCAGGGGAAAATTAGAAGACAAAGAAATCCTTTGTTTCCAACTAAATTTACCGGGTAAGTTTAGAAGACAAAGCGTATGCATGGGTAATGAGGTAAATTAGTGATTAATCGTACCTCGCGAGACAAAGGATTTCGAGGCAACTATGATATTATTGATAATATACTTTATAGTAAATTTATAATTATTTATTTTAAAAAATTCTTGGTTTCCGATTGGCTAACAACTAACTGTGAAATTGTCATATCAACTCAATGGCAAACCAAAGATGGATTTTCACATTCATGCATATTGCAAAATGACGTCAAAGATTCAATATGAAAATTGGACGTGTTTGCGCCATATTACTATGATGATGAGAATCATATTGACTCGCTGACGCAATTGATATGACGATGACGACAACGACGGCTGCCGAAGGATTAAGGAATTGTTTTTTTTCTTAATACAAATAAAATACAAATGGCTTCCGTTTGTTTTGAATTTTTTAAATAAATAATAAAACAATTATTGAATTCGGTTTTGGCATAATATGAAGAATTATCAAGCCCTCAGTTTGCCGTCAACCTTTGGCTTCGGTTGATAACGGCAAACTTTGGGCTTGATATTCTTCATATCGTGCTCAACCTGATTCAATAATTGTTAATTATTAACAATACAAAATACTGACCATTATTGTATAGCCGTAATGCTCTTCATCAACACCACTCCACATTGGACCCCTGAACAGACGGTTGAAACGTGTGGGGAACTCCGCACACATACTTTCATGCCACTGAAGAAAATCAGCAGGCATCTCAATCTAGATGATAATATTAATGTCAGTTTGACTTTGACCTTGCACCAATATTTGGAAATTTTTCTTGCCTATAATGCAGCTAGAAAACAGACTTCACATATTGATTGGACATTCCCTATACTGTGTATGTATCATGTATTTAATTCATTATAATATCACTTTTGGTAGAAATAAATAATACATAGTTTATATATACAAAAGGGAATGTCAAATATTTTATTAGAAGGGAAATGTCTCTAGGTAGAAATTACAAGAGATTTTTGGAAAATGAATAGACATGACTGGATGAGAGCATACATTTTTATATTTAACCCCCTTAATGGGTTAACCAAAAAATCTGACAATGTCTAGTTAACCCATCGAGCTACAATGCGCCCCAGTACGCCCTACTTATTTTTTTTTACAAGGCGGTTTTCCAGTCCTCACACGAAGCTCCTCGCTGCGAGTGCTTGCATCTAATTAAAATTAACTGTTTTGCATTGTGATTGGATGAAAGTGCTCATGCATGCACTCGCAGCGTGGAGCTTTGTGCGAAGACTGGAAATCCGCCTTAACGCCAGAGAATTTTACTCGTCAGTGGGGGAGCTCTGCAGCTTTTTAAATGGGTTAAATTAAATAATTTTACAACATGATTTCATACCTGTTTTACATGAGTGCAACTAAAGAACTCTATCTGATACTCAACCAGACCAAAAGCCATCCTATCCATTGGAAAGACGGGCTCACCAGTTACAGGTTTGGTATTGCATAATGCCAAGGCGAATTTATACAATAGATTACTTTTGTTGTTCTTTTTTAGCAGTTCCATTGCTTTAAAAGAGAGTGAACAAAATTTGACAGGATTAGATGTTATGTTACGCTCCAAAGCGAGTTGTAGGAATAGTTTGTTCAACAATGTTTCAAAATCATCATTTTCCAAAAAAAATACCGCGAAAACGAGTGAATAATATTAAAGTCTATCTAGAAAGTATCTAGGGGCCATAGTGGCCAGAACACTCCCCATCTGGTATGAAAATACCACTACGTTTAACGTTCTAAAGTGTTATTATTGAGTCACGAACACGAATTTAGTTCGTATTCAGTTTTTAGCAGGATCAGTTCTGTCACTGGTCTGGTGTACACTTGCTTTGAGCCGTTCTTTGCTGTCGTGACTTCTACCTTTCGAACTTTTTCATCCGCGCTGCTTAGGGTCTTCGAGACGCGAGCTAGCGGCCAATCGTTTCTCGGCCATTCTTTGCATCGGAGGAGGACCAGATCTCCCACTTGGAGATTTGGAACGTCTGTTGTCCACTTTCGCCTGTATTGTAATGTCGGCAAGAATTCTTTTCTCCATCTTGACCAGAAACGGTTGGCTAATAGTTGTACTTGCCGCCACTGTTTGGTATAGAGGTCTTGGGGTACGAAATTTCCTGGGGTTGACTTGAGTGTTGCCGTTTTTTGCGTCAGGAGAGTAGATGGTGTGAGAATTTCGGGTGCAGAGGGGTCGCTTGAGATGGCTACTAGCGGTCTGTTGTTTACGATAGCTGTCACCTCGGCCATCAGTGTTGATAGGACTTCGTGAGTCAGTCGTGTTGGTCTTAGCTCGGCCATCATCGAGTCCAGAATTCGTCTAGAAATACCGATCATACGTTCCCACACGCCTCCTGTATGCGAAGCGTGAGGAGAGTTGAAAATCCATTCGCATTCTTGAGAATTCAAGTACGTCTCCACGATATTTTGATCCGTTTCCTTTAGAGCCGATTCTAGTTCGTTCTGAGCTCCTTTGAAATTCGTTCCGCAGTCCGAGCGAATCTGTTGAACGGGCCCTCTGATAGCCATGAATCTTCGAAGTGCATTTATGAAACTAGAAGCGTCCATACTCTCGATTAATTCGATATGAATAGCTGTCGTTGAAAGGCAAGTAAAGATTACTGCCCATCGTTTACTGTAAGCGTGTCCTCCTCTGGTACGACGAGCTGTGACTTCCCATGGACCGAAAACGTCCAGTCCGACGAAGGTGAAAGGAGGTGATGGAGTGATGCGTTCTGATGGGAGGTCTGCCATCTTCTGCTGATGAAGCTTGCCTCGGAGTTTCTTACATTTCAGACACTGATGGATAACGCGATTGACGAGGCGTTTTCCGCCGACGAACCAGAATCCTTTTGATCTGACCATGCCGTGGGTGAAATGACGACCCTGGTGTTTCGCTTCTTCGTGGCAGTTCTTAACGATTAGACTTGTCACGTGGTGTTTCCCGGGTAGAATGAGGGGGTGTCGTTCTTCGTACGGAAGGTCAGCTCGTTTAAGACGACCACCAATACGTATGAGACTGTCTGAGTCGATTATTGGGTTGAGTTTTAACAGTGGTGATGTTTTTGACAGTCCCTTTTTCTTTTCTAAGGAATCGAATTCTTCCTCAAACGCTTCGATCTCTAGGTTCCTTACGATCAACAACTGTGCGCGTTTTCGTGCCTGGATTACCGTAGTTTCGTTGCCGACTGACGCTTTGGCATGGTGGTGATGCTGAGCGACCATCATTAGTTTCGATACTGCGTTCACTAAGTTTGCCCACCGCGAGAAACGTAGGAAGCGATCAGTTCCAAGGTTTTTCTGAACTGCGGGCTTTGCGTTCGTGGCGAGGGTTGTGATTTCGGGACGAAGTTCTAGGTCTTCTTGTGGGGGTTGGAAGGTCTCGGTCTCCGGTGGAACGTCGAAGGAAATTGTGCTTTGGAGGAACTTCGGGCCGGCCAACCAAGACGAGTCTTTGAGGTCGCAGGCTTTCACCGATCGAGTAGCTAGATCCGCTGGGTTGAGGTCAGTTGCCACGTATCTCCACTGATCTGGTGACGACGACCTTCGTATTCTTTGTACGCGGTTGCTGACGTACACATAGAACCGGCGCGTTTCGTTAAGAATGTATCCTAGTGTAACTTTACTGTCCGTGTAATAGGTTACGGAGTGTGGTTTTACTGCTAACTCTTCGATAACCAGCTCCGTAATTTCTACGCCGAGCACTGCAGCACAAAGCTCTAAACGGGGAATCGTTGTGGCGTGTGACGGAGCCAGCTTAGCTTTGCCGAACACGAATGATACTTGGGCTTGACCGTCTTTCAGGACGACTTTGATGTATGAGACAGCAGCAATGGCTTCGGTGGAGGCGTCGCAAAATGTGTGGATTTCTACACGGCTTGCTTCGGACAGTGACACGCTTGCGTAGGTACGTGGGACTCTGACTTCGGTTAGGTCTGAGAGGGATTTGCACCAAGCTTCCCAGGATGCGTTATATTGCTCAGGTAGCGGTTGGTCCCAGTCGTCAAGTGGGTGGCGTTTCAGGCTTGTTGTCATAGCTCGCAGCAGGATTTTGGCTTTGATGACGACCGGGGCAGCGATTCCGAGAGGATCGTAAAGGCGACGGAGAGAACGCCCCGTCTTGTAAAGGGTTTGGCTCCGTCGACGACCTGGAAGGTAAAGGCGTCTGCTTGTAGGTCCCAAAATACACCCAACGAGCGCTGAATCGGTACTACGTCGCGGTGAAGGTCCAGATTGCGTAGGTCGGAAGCTCGGTCTTCGACGGGAAAGGCCTGTGTTACCGTAGGGTCGTTGGACGCGATTTTGTGGAGGCGCAGATTGGCGTCGGCTAACATGGTTTTGGTTCTGCATAACAGGTCGACGGTTCCCTCGCGATCGGGAACGGACTTTAGGCCGTCGTCTACGTAAAAGTCTTTCTCTACGAACTCTCTTGCGTCCGGTCCGTACTTGGGTTCTCCTACGAGAGCTGTCTTTCTAAGAGCGTATGTTGCAATAGCTGGCGAGGAAGTGTTACCGAACAAGTGCACCTTCATACGGTATTCGATCACTTCTTCTTCGGGGTTGTTGTCTTTATGCCAGAAAAAGCGAAGATAATCTCGATGGTCTTGACGAACCATAAAGGAGTGGAACATTTGTTCGATGTCCGTCATGAACGCGACGGTGTTGCAGCGAAAGCGCAAGAGAATACCTACGAGACTGTTCGTCAGGTCTGGGCCAGAGAGAAGTAGCTTATTTAGTGACACTCCGTTGGTTTCGGCTGCTGAATCGAAGACTACCCGTATTTTATCAGGCTTTCGGGGGTGGTAGACGCCGAAGTGGGGAAGGTACCACCGTGGTCCTTTTGAAGCTATGTCACTCTCGGGAACGGGCTCCGCATGACCATTGTCGAAGAGCTTTTGCATAAACTCAAAATAGTCTCTTTTCATTTCCGGTTTCCTTTCGAGAGTCCGCCTTGTGGAGTTAAAACGCTTACGAGTGTCTTCGCGGTTGTCTGGTAGTCTTGATATCGGGTTGCGAAATGGAAGTGGCGCCTCCCAGTTCCCTGCTTCGTTTTTGACCATTTGATGTTCCATTATGTTGACAAATCTCCTGTCTTCCACGGAGGGACCAGGTTTGTTGTCGTCCTTCGAACTTGCGAACACTTTGGCTGCTAGGCCATCGTCAAAGTTTCCGTTTTCGAATGTCTCTTTCCTTTGGTCGTTGTTTCCGTCGCAGGGGACGGCAGAAGCGGTGGACGTGTATTCCTTGATGTGGAAACGATTAGGGCAGGGTGATAAGATTGATGGTCGGCCGCTTTCGAGAACGTTTGTTTTGTAACAGGAAGGCTTCGGTGTGTGAGCTCCGTCCAGGCAAGCGTGGCCGATGATGACCCATCCTAGATCAAGACGCTGGGCCCAAGGGGCATTTCTAGGTCCGTTACGGGATTCGTGAACCTTTTGAAGTGGAGGGGCGTTCCGACCGATGAGCAGTAGGATGTCTACGTCGCCACGGATCTCTGGTATTTTGTCAACAATTTCGCGTAGGTGTGGATGAGCTCGGGCTACCTCTGGCGAAGGTATCTCTTCTTTAGAATCAGGGATCGCGTTACATTCGATTACGTTCGACAGCTGATGACTTTTATTACTGTCCACAGACTCTACGACGAGATTTTTGCTGCATCTTCCTCGAATCTGAGTTGTTCCGGCGCATGTTCTAAGCGAATACGAGGTTGCTTGACCGTGAACGTTTAGGCGATCGAGCAGTTCGGATTTTGCTAGAGAACTGTTACTCTGATCATCGATTACCACGTACGCCTTCACTTTGGTTTCTGGATGTCCGGTGACGTATATGTTGGCTAGGCAGATTTTTGAGCATGATTTCCCACCGGGGGAATTCCCGCATATTTCGGTGCATTTGTTTGTAATCTCTCCCGCGTGCTGGTTTTGTCGAGGGTTAGCGCCATCATCGGATTGGTCTTTATTTGCTACCTGCTCCCCGCCGTGCCTTTGCTCACCGTCAACGTGTAGTGCGGCGAGGTGTTTGTTGCTTCCACATTCGGTGCACATGACCTTGGCCTTGCAGTCCTTCGCGAGGTGATCGCACGATGCAATACAGCGAAAGCATACTCTGTTCTTTCTTAGTATTGTGGTTCTTTCATCGAGTGGCATGGCTTGGAAGGCTCTACATTTGCTTAATGGGTGCCCTTTATGGTGGACAATGCACCAGTTCGTAGGGTTACGAGGTGGGGGATCGTGTCCGACTCTGCGATCTTGGGCCTCGATCTCAGTCTTCTTTACACTAATTTCTTGTCGCCAGCTCGGGTTTCGCATACCTGTGTTCTTCCTCTCGGGAATCTCTATGATCAGGTTAGGATCGTTTCTTTCGAGGGACAACTCCTGGATGAAGGTGACAAACTCGGAAAATGGGGGGTAGTCAACCTCGGCGTGTTGTTTCTTATATCGAAAGGCGTGCTTTTGCCATCTGCTTTGGATATCGCCAGGGAGCTTCGCAATGACAGGTTTAATGTAAGCGGGCTCGTCGAGGATTCTGAGGCCTCTGTATCCGCCGTCGTTCTTAGCACACTGTAATTCTAAGAGCAAATCTCCGAGTTCTTGGAATTTCTTGTTATCTCTAAATCCGATTTTCGGCAGATCTTTCAGTTTGTTTAAATGTACTTCAGTTATAACCGCGTTAGAACCAAACCGCTGGCTAAGTTTTTGCCATAGTATCTCCACGCCTTTTGTGGGTTTGTTGATATATGCGTTTCGAAGCCGTTGAGCAAGTTTCTTTGATTCGTTGCTGGTATACTCTATGATGAGTGATAGCTCTTCGCTAGGGGAGAGGTGAATGTCTCGTATCATATTCTTGAAGGATTCTTTCCAACCGTAAAAATTTCTGGGATTATCGTCAAATCTCTGAATCTTATTAGCGATAAGCTCTCTGCGTGCCATGAATTGGATGTAAGAGCTTATAGCATTTGTACTGGGGTCTGTCCGAGAGTTCTGTGGTTGAGGGATAAACGAGTTGGCCGCCGGGTCTAGTCTTCGGTTGAGTGGTTTTTCTCGTATAGGATGGTTGGTATTCTGTGGGAGTTGTGGACCGATGACATGATTTGGAACCGGGGGACTAGAGTCTTGGCCAATGTTAGATTCTTCGAAGCGTTGCGAATTTATATAGTTTTGGACCCTTTCCGCAGGATCGTCTTGGGGTAGGTCAAAGTGTTCAGGATCTTGATGATCTACGAGGCTCAGTTCTTTATCTATTGCCTGAGCTTTAGCAACGGCGACTGCTGCTTCTTCTTCTAATAGTAAACTTTCCATTCGGGATTTCTCTTCCATTTTCTTTTGGGCTAGAGCAAGTTCTTGTTGTTGTATTTCCATGGCAGACTGGGACTCTCGCAATGATCGCCATTTTTGCATTTCTACTTTCTTTAGTGCCGCTGTAGCCTCAGCTCTTGCAAGAGCTCGAGCGGCGGTGGAGGATGTTGTGGAGCTGCGGGAACTACGGGAAATTCGGGAATGGTGGACAGAGTTAATTTCAAGCAAAAGTTCCTTTTTCCGCTCGTTTGCTTCGTTTATTACTGTATGAATGTACTCGCTACGATTATTTACGAGTTTCTGCAATGTTTCGTATTCTTTTTGGTGTTTGGGGTCGCTGACATTAGCGAGAAACTCTAAGAGGGACAAAGAAACGGCGTGGTACTCGTGGAATAGCGAACGTACTTCTGATGTATGGGATTTTATTTGATTTAGCGAATCGGGTGTTTCTTGCAATTTGCCCACAGCAGTTGACGTGTTTCGCCACAATTAAATTGTGACAATTTGTCAAGTTTTGAATGATCAGACTGAACTCTGTTTTCGATAGACTTTTCGGTGGGTTTTACTGATCTTTTGGGACGAGAGGATGGGTCGTTTGTCGAGACAGACAGAGTATTTTCGTCCGTTTCTGGGCTTGCTTTATCAGGTTTAGTACTGTTTATTTCGTTTTGACCCGTATTTTCTACCGTATTTTCAGCCGTATTTTGCGATAAAAACGTATCTAGTGTTCCTACCTCGGGGTTGTCGACGGTGGTTTTATCTGCCATTGAGCTGTTCGTTGTAGAACAATCGTTTCCTTCTGTAGTTGAAGCCGTTTTGTAGCGATTTTCGAGCACGCTACAAAGATATCTTCGAAGTCAGTTCGTCTTTCTCGATGTATACACGCCAGAAAAGTGACTCTTTTTTTACTATTCTGTTCCTTCGGGAAAGGCCTTGTCCCCTTCAACAGTAGTATAACAGACGAATAAGTTTAAACGGTGCTTTTATTCGCTTTTTGTAAAAAAAGAATGCTCACTCAGGCGTGAGAACCGAGCCAGAGAAAAACCGGTAAAAATACCCCCTGGCTCGCTAATAATGAGATGCGATTACGAAAAAATACCGCGAAAACGAGTGAATAATATTAAAGTCTATCTAGAAAGTATCTAGGGGCCATAGTGGCCAGAACAATTATTATTTATTTTATACATTAATGACATTGAGAACTGTAGTGATATTATTTCTTTTGTTTTATATGCTGATGATACAAATGCTTTCTATTCAAATTCCTGCTTGAAAACATTATCTACTACTATACAAAATGAACTTGATAAGGTAGTTCAATGCAAATAAATTATCAATCAATGCATCCAAAACAAAAATTGTCATTTTTAAGTGCAAAAATAAATCGCAGAATTCACAGATAACAATAAAAATAAATAATGATATAATTAAACAGATGCCTTCCGTGAAGTTCTTAGGTGTCACTATTGATCAAAAGTTGACATGGACTAACCACATCAACTCAGTTTTAAAAAGCATAACTAAATCTACAGGTATGATTGCTAAATTAAGACATTATACAAATAAAAACACTTTGAAATTGATTTACTTTGCATTGGTCTATCCATACCTTACATACGGAAATCTAGTTTGGGGTAATACAAATCCAACAAGATTACAGAATTTATTAAAGATACAAAAGAAAATTGTCCGGCTATTGTGTTTTAAATCTTATACAGATCATTCAGAACCTTTATTTTTTAATCTTAAAATCTTGAATATCTACAAAATTAATGATCATCTTTGCAGTCTATTTATGTATCGCTGCATGAATTATGATCAAAATTTGCCAAACCTTTACAATTGTCATTTTATACAAAATAAAGAATTGCATAATTATAATACGCGAAACTCTTCAAAATTACACGTTAGTTACAAAAGGACGAACTATCGTGTTCACACTGTTTTTAACAAAGGAATTTCGGTATGGAATTGTCTTGATGAAGAAATTAAAAATCAAAAATCGTATTTTTCCTTTAAGAAAAAAGCAAAATTAAATTACTTGTTAATATAAATATTGTTAGCTAAAACATGTATTATATATATTGAACCAATTTAGATTCATGTAATTTATTTTAATCAAAACAATATAGGGGCCTTATATCAAAAGTCCAACAGGATTTCAAAAGGTCCCTTGCTCCTTTATATTATTGTATTTTAACTATATTTCCATTGTAAATATTTTTGTGAGCAAATATATTCTATTCTATCATATATGTCCATATCTTCGGTTCAGTGCTAGGTCAGTTCAGTGCATGCTCCATTCGACTCAGTTAAACAAAATCAAATGATTCCTCACAATAGCTTAAGTCATTATCAACATTGTAGCAGTTTATGACCTTTGAAAGTCAAGCAAGATCGTATATTATTAAATTATCTGAACAAAGATATAACTTTGGCCCCGTATCTTCATTGCAATATTCTTGTTCGAATCATTATCAATAACTACTGTGTAGAGTGTTTATATTTCCGAGATTGTATCTTCAAATTTGTATCTTTTAGTTTTATCACGGTATATAATAATTTCCGATTTCTGGCCCGACTGTGATTTAACAACAATAATAAACTATAGCAATCCCAACCAAAAATACAATTTTAAAACAACAATGCAACGTTTGTCACATGCTTGTTTTGTCACATGTTTGTCACATGTCGGGTGTCATGTCGGTAACACAAGGTTCAAAGCGCAGTGCGCAAAATACAAATAATTCTTTGAAAAAAAAAACGCCCAGCAAGTCTAATCAGAACACAAAAATGGAAGATAAGGGTACAGAGAAGGAGATGAACAAAAATTTCGGAAGCGAAGTCAAACTACAAGATATATTTGAGTTGATATCTGGTATGAGCAAGAAGATGGACAAATTGGATATCATCCAAGAAAATATGGAAAATATACAGACGGAATTGAAAGAAGTAAGAAAATCTATTGAATACGCTCATAGCGAAATAGACGATTTGAAGAAGGAAAATGAGAAAAAAGCGCAAGTTCAGAGAGAAACACCAAACGCATCAACAAACTTGAAGCCGACAACATAACATTATTGAATAGCGTCATTGACCTTAAAGCGAGGTCAATGCGCGACAATCTGCTGTTTTACAACATGCCTGAAGAAAGCGATGAAAACACCACAGCAATGATTCACAAGCTAAATTTGTTCTGTGTTGGTGTAGTGTACTCAGGTGAATATGATATTTGTGGTGTTACTCTGAGTGTATATCCACACCGGGCGAGCTTGAAAAATATGCCCGGCCACGGTGGGATTCGAACCTACGACCTTTGGAATACTAGCCCAATGCTCTTCCAACTGAGCTATGCGGTCAGGACGGTTTCGAGTAAGTGATATTTCGGAACAGAATCTAGTTCCTTCAATACCAATGTATTCTAGTAATATGAATTTATATTATAATAATTCATATTACTAGAATACATTGGTATTGAAGGAACTAGATTCTGTTCCGAAATATCACTTACTCGAACTGTCCTGACCGCGTAGCTCAGTTGGAAGAGCATTGGGCTAGTATTCCAAAGGTCGTAGTTTGAAACCCACCGTGGCCGGGCATATGATTCACAAGCTGTTGGAAGAAAAGCTTGGGTTCGAGGACGCTGTTATGAAATTAAAAATCGACCGTTCTCATCGCTTGGGAAAAAAGAAACGGGGAGAAACCAAAGCGCGACCAATTGTCGCAAAGTTCAATTTTCATCAGGATAAAGTTTCAATCACGCGGAATGCAAAGAAGCTGAGGAAATTGTCAGAGAAAGGAAGAGGCTTTACCCAGAATTTAAAAAGGCAAGACGTAACAATCTAAAAGCTACTCTTGTCAGAGACAAACTGTTTATCAATGGTGAATTGTTCAGGGGATAATCAAATATCATATTAAACAGGTTTTATATCTTTATTAACTTTTACTTTTATACAAGTCATACAATTTGAATACTTTAATTCTTATTAACAAGCTAAACTTTTCTTGATAGTCAACAATGACTACTGAAAAATCAAACGTAAACAACACGATAAAAACATGTTCATCCTGTTCTGAATTAATTTCAAATAATATTTCCGAGTGCAACATGTGTCATAAATGGTTTCAAGCTGTGAAAGAATGTTTGAAATCATTTCCTGATATGCCTGACTCGCTGTTAATTTCATCTCAGGATATTAATCATATATTCCGCACTTGTTTCGAGTGTAATTTATCATCTAAATTCAATAACATAAACGTAGACAAACTAAATAATTTGAAATTTAACCCTTTCCAGACAAATAACGATGTAGCTTTCAGCCAACATAACACGTACAAATCTTGATAAATCTCTCAACATTAACGAAATAGACTGCAACTATTATTTACCAACGGAGTTTATAACAAAATCTGAAAAACATTTCCATTCATCTAATGCATTTTCTATAATGCATCTTAATATAAGAAGTATAAGAAACAAATTTGATAGCTTTAAATATTTAACTGAATCACTAATCAAGAATGTAAATATAATAGGTCTTACTGAAACATGGCTTAGCAATAATGACTGTGAACAATATTATAAATTAGGAGGATATGACTATATAGGATTAAATAGGGAGACTAAAAAAGGAGGGGGAGTTGGTATATATATTAAAGAGCATATAAACTGCAAAAAACGTGAGAACCTAACCACAAATATTGAAGATATCATTGAAAGTGTTTGCATTGAAATATGCACAACCGTAGGGAAAAATATTATCATTGCAGTAATTTATAGACCACCAAATAACAAAATTGAAATATTTGAAAATGCAATGAATGATTAATTGAATAAAATTGATCGAGAAAACAAAATCTGTTATCTTATGGGAGATTTCGATATAGACTTACTTCAGTCAGAAACCTGTGATATTGCTAATAGGTTTAGTGAGCAACTTTTTACCTCCTCTTTTTACCCAATTATAACCAAACCAACCAGAATCACTGAACATACTGCTACTCTAATTGATAATACTTTCACTAATAATATAGATAAAATAGACTCAAGTGTAAATGGAATTATTTTCTATGATATCTCAGACCATATTGCATGTGTGTGACCTCAATGCAATCCATTTAAATAAACGTAACAAAGAAATAATAGACATTAGAGAATTCAATAATGCAAATATAAATGTTTTCAAACAAGCTATTAATGAAATATCTTGGCCAAGTATTTTTTCTGATAACTCAAATCCAGAACTAAGTTTTTCCGAATTCACAGAAACATTCTTAAATGCTTATAATATAAGTTTTCCAACCAAAAAAAAAGTCATTAAAAATTCAATTAAAAGCAAAAGTCCTTGGATGACAAAAAGTGTCTTGAAATCAGTGAGAACAAAAAACAAACTATATAAGGCTTACTTACTAAACAATAGTAAGAAAAATCAAAATTTATACAAAAAGTATAAAATAAGCTAAACCATGTTATTAAAGCATCAAAGAAAATGTATTATGAAGAACAATTAATAAAATATAAGCATGATACTAAAATGATTTGAAAACACTAAATAATATTCTGAACAAAAAAACAAAGAAAACAAATTTACCAAAGCAGTTTGCTGATAATACGTCATCTAGCACTATAGATGACCCTATAAAAATTGCAAACAAATTTAATGACTATTTTGTAAATATAGGACCAAATCTAGCTAAGAAAATTAATAACACTAATATAACATTTGATAAATACCTCACAAACAGCATCCCTAACAGCTTATTTCTGGATCCAGTTACAGAATATGAAGTAAGAAGTGAAATAGAAAAACTAAACACAACCAAAAGTCCTGGACATGATGGTCTTAGTGCAAAAATAATAAAACTTGTGACAAATGAAATCTCTAAACCAATTGCACAAATATTTAATCAAACATTCCTAACTGGTAATATTCCCCTTGAACTCAAAATAGCGTTGGTAACGCCGATTTATAAGTCAAATGAAGAGAACAAATTTGAAAACTATAGACCAATTTCAGTTATCACTTGTTTTGCAAAAATACTAGAGAAAATTATGTATAAACGTCTCATCAATTTTGTCGAAAAAAATAATATTCTATCAGAACACCAGTATGGATTTCGCAAAAATAGATCAACTGAACTCGCTATAATTGAATTTATTGATAAAATAACAAAAGCAATTGACAAAGGACAATATACAATTGGTATTTTCCTTGACTTGTCAAAAGCATTTGATACTATTAATCATAGCATCCTGATTAAAAAATTAGAATACTATGGAATTAGAGGTGTTGCTCTTAAATGGTTTGAGAACTATCTAGCCAATAGAAAACAAATTGTTAAGTATAATGACACTAAGTCTGAAGCAATGACAATAACTAGTGGTGTTCCTCAAGGCTCAATTTTGGGGCCAATATTATTTTTATTGTACATAAATGATATCCAAAATTGCAGCAAACTAGTTTCCAAAATATTGTTTGCAGATGACACAAATATTTTCCATAGCCATTCTTGCTTAAAAGAGTTAAATTTAATCATGCAAGACGAAATAAATAAAATAGCAGATTGGATTAGCAGTAATAAACTATCACTAAACACAACTAAAACAAAATTTATTTTATTTAAATCATCAAACAAAAGGATTAAACATAATACAATAATATCGATAAATGGACAACCAATAAAACAAGTTAAGAATACAACTTTCCTTGGTGTTGTTATTGATGAACACTTAACATGGAATGATCATATTGATTTAATTACGAAAAAAGTTATAAAAGCTACAGGAATAATATCCAAAATTCGACATTTCACAAATTTTAATACTCTTAAACTAGTCTATTATGCTTTAGTTTATCCTTATTTAATATACGGAAATTTGATTTGGGGAAACACATATAAAAAACGACTACAAAAATTAATAAACATTCAAAAAAAAATAATACGATTAATGATGTTCAAGTCATATTCTGAGCATTCTGAACCACTATTCAATGAAGCAAAGATTCTTAACATTGAAAAAATTAATGACTTTCTGATCAGTTTATTCATGTTTCGATATCACTACTTGGATAATTTACCAAAATACTTTACCAATTACTATGTTACTAACAACAAAATACATGAACACAATACAAGAAACGCATCCAAACTTCATAAATCATGCTCCAGAACTAATTTTGTCAAACATTCACTTCAAAATAAGGGTGTAAATATCTGGAATGAGTTAAATACTGACTTAAAAAATTTAAAATCCTATTGCACATTTAAAAAAAATTCAAAAAACCACTTCTTGCTGTTGCATTCGGAAACATAGATTTTATTATATGTATGTTTGTCATTATTTGTATGTTTGTCATTATTTGAAACATTATAAAAATTCTTCAATCTCATCTTCTTTTTTCTTTTTCTATTAAACTTACTTTAAGTTCTGATCATGACCAATCAATGTAAATAATTAAATACTTTTAACCTAGGGGTCTTAATCAAAAGCCTTTGTTTGGTTTCTAGTAGACCTCTAGCCCTATTTCTGTAATTCTATATCGTATATATACATATATATATATTTTTTCTGTATGTATGGGCGAAAACTTTAAAAAATAAAAAAAAAAAATAAAAAATACAGTGTATCATACAGCTATTTCAATTAAGGTTGTCCACGAGAAAAGCGGAAAAGTCGAATACGTGCGCGAAAGGCTGCTGGGAATTGCTTTGAAAATTCATTAATTTGTTAGCAATTCCCAGCAGCCTTTCACGCTCCAATCCTTGACAGTCTTTATTTATAACCTGCAAGCTAGTAGCCAGTTTAATTGGGGGGAGGAAATGTGAGCAGGAGATTGTGTACAGACTACTGCAGCTAGACATAGCATATAATTTCAAAATGGAAAGGTGCCCTCTTTTTCTAGATTAAAAGTATTTGCCTTTCTCCAATGACAAAATATCAAAGAGTTGGTGTCAGCTAGTGTAGGTAGTGGTGATAACAGAGTTTGGCCAGCCTCAGGGGCATAGGAAGCACCTGGAGTTTGGGGGGGCGGGGGGGGGGAGAAATTTCTCCTGAGGAAAATTTTCCGTCGTATCATACCGAAATTTATGTTTGTGACCTAATTTTTAAAAAAAATTTGTAAATTTCCACACAAAAACGGTACCTATTGTTTTAATTTAGTATTTACAGCGACATTAGCTTCTACTAAAGGGGCACTTTTCCTCACAAAAAAGGGCACTTTTCAACACAAAAAGGGCACTTTTTATCACAAAAAAGGGCACTTTTAGTCCTTTAAAAAAATTGGGGGGGGCACGTGCCCCCCGTGCCCCCCCCCCGCTTCCTACGCCCCTGGCCAGCCTCATCCCCAGGCTAGCAAATCAAAGCACCTGGGGACGAGGCTGGAGTTTGGCTGCTAACTTCCTGATGAAGAGCTTACAAATGTCAAAGTTCTGCATTTTTTTGGTAGCTGTATATCCTTCATACCACAGCTTTTTCCCAGTGATATTGGTATTATTCAGCTATGAAATCCATGTATTGTATATACTTTAACTTTTATATTACATGTAGGTACCGGTAAAACATTGCCTTAGAATACAGGAAAAGCTGTGGTAGAAACACACCCCCCCCCCCCCCCCACCTCACAACAATGTTCGTTTCTTACATTGTTCCATCATGATATTTCTGACGCCCTCGCTGGATATGCTAAATCTGATACATGTAGATGGCCCTTTTTGGGAGTTTCATGGTACAGTAGAACACTGCAAATATTAGTAATTGACCGATAATCGGTATCGGCATCGGGTCAATTTTTGCCTTATCGGTAGACAATCGGAATCGGTAGAATTAACTATATTTCCAATTGTCTAAAACCAATTGTTGAGAAAATATGCACTTTAAAAATTGTACACATTGCACGTTGACACATGTTGTGTTAACTGTTAAATGCAATATGTTAAATTTAGGGAAAGTACATTTATTATGCCGAGGGGGGGGATGAAGATGTTAAGGGGGGGCTCCGAAATATTTTCTGCATTTAAAGGGGGGGGCTCTGAAAGTTCTTGATATACTGAAGGGGGGGCTCTAAACTTTTCAAAGGTTTGACCCCAGCAAATTAAAGTTAATATTTTTACATTTTCAGGTAAAATTTGCGTAATAAAGTAATTATTTTTGTGAAATGATAACCATTTTTGTAAAATATAGTCAATTTACATGCAATTTGCTTGCGAAATTTGCTTTAGAAAACGCCAGAAATTCAGTCCTAGAGCTTCAAAAATGTAAAAATTTTCTGGGGGAGGACCCCAGACCCCCCTTTTCTCCCCAAACTTACTTACACGTATAATCCTCTGACATCCCCCCCCCCCAAACGTCAGATGCTTTGCTACGTCCCTGATGGTTGTATCAAAACCGATTTCAGTTTTAAGATATCCTTAGACTACTCTTCTAAATGGATACATGAAATCACCTATAGCTTATTTAAATTTTTTGGCGCCAGGTTTGTGAAGTAATTTACGCGCCAAAAAGTAGCAATTCCAAAAACAAAAAAGCATATACGATTTGCAAGAATGATATGTTCTATGTTTATGGGATATTTCGTACAAACGGGATGGAAATTAAAGAAATTGAAGCATACTGGCAGTTTTGCATGCATTTTTGACAGGCATACAAAGACATTTGCAACAGATGCCGGGAGATACGTTGGGTGGGGGCGACATACTGTAAGGTTCCAGCACATTACCCTGATCCAGGAAATCCTGGCCACTACATGAACGTGTTCAAGACTCCGAATACGCTGAATGATGGACAACAACAACCTGTTGATAATTTCACCCCTAGAGCCAATTTAAATGTTTTAAAGACGGTGCCATTTCATCTGGCGCTAGTGAGGTGAAAGCAGCAGATCAGTAGTTTTGTTGAGGAGAAGCACATGCTTGAGTATATCAGACATCTTGAGGAACTGCAAATTGTATCTATGATAAGAGGGAATTCCGGATTGTACTCCTTCGATTCCGAATTCTAGAGGGGGGGGGGGGCATTGAAAATTTTAAAAACGTGGAGGGGGGGCATTGAAATTTCCCGATAACCTCAACAGGGGTCCTGTAAAAATATGAGCTTTTTTCAAGACATCTTCATCCCCCTCCCTCAGTGTAATAAACGTACTTTCCCTTAGTGTGTGAAGCATGCCATTTATTAATGGTTTTAACAATCTTTGGTTGCAGTAACATATGTTACTGTACGTTGGAAATTATCGTTAAAAAATTGACGTGAATTATTTCACCTTTACTCAGTTGACTGATATTGTGACGTCATTATAAAATTGGTATCGGCATCGGTATCTGCCTATCTGGCAGATTGTGGCATGAATAATTAGTAATTTCCGATTGTTGCACAATCAGTCAAATGAGTCAATCACTAGCAATATCAAACCATGCCTGGTAGAACTAACTTTCCCAGCATACCTAGTTGACAGATAACATTGTGATGGTGCTTAAATGTGGGCACACAAATAGAGTGGATTTTCATCTACTAAAATCGATAAAAATTTATGGCAATCAATGAATTAAAAAAAATGAAATTGGCCCAATTTTTTATGACTATCGCTGGTCATTGATTGCAAGATAATAATCAATACCAATTGGTATCGATTGTCATCGATTTATCGATTGAATTCATGATGATCGACTTTCATCAATGGCCATCAATTAGATATTTACCGCGGTTATAAACGGTTTATTTGCATTTCGAGAGATTGAAATTCATCAATCTGCAGTGCTGTACTAAAAGTGCAGCACTGCACTGTGTATTATATGTCCCCAAAATTTAAACTATATGTGAACGTTACGTTACGTACCAGTGGCACCAAAACCTACAAAAAATAAAACGATTGCCACGAGTCGCAGGCCAGAAACGTACATGTGATTTGATTTTTCCGCGCCTTCCTGTCAGACGCACAAACATGTAAATTTATATCAAATACAACCGTCGACGAACATTAATATCATAGGTACGTTCAAAACTCACCAAACAGTCTGAGCTCTCGACGTTTTCAAAAAAGCTGAAAATTATAATAAAATCAACATCTCCAAAAAATGACAAATTCAGAGAAGCATGTTTAGATGCAGCGGTTCAGAGGTTTAGATGTTTGCTTGGATCAAATTTCACATAAAGTCAGCAGTTCAGATGGCTGGCTCAGAATGACAGGATCCGAATTCCAGTATGACAAAAACTGACCAAAGAGTAAAGATATATACTTCCTCTGTGACCTGACCATCAAATATGACGACATTTATCACTGAATTTCAAACGATGTACTGGCTTCGTAGTGTTGGACCATGGTAATAATTAAAATTGTTTTCTGTCTGCACCACCAATCTTCTTTTAATATCTCCATCTCCAGGGGTGAGGGCTCGTGGGGCGAGTGGCGACTGGGGCCGGGGGGAGGCGGTATAAATTCACGATTTATTCACACGATTTATTCACCATTAAAAATAGACAATCTGTTGGAAATTTGGATCTAAAAAGACTAAAAACAGCCAATGTAAATGGGAGCTTTGTTAGAAATTAATTAGGGGTTTTGTCGGAAATATAAATTTCCACCACTGCCGCCAGTCTCTAAAGGCCTGTTTACACAGGCAATTTTTGCTGCGATTTGGGGGATGTGAAGTAGTGGATGAGTTATAAATGTTCCACGTTACGAAATCTCATAACAACATTACATCATTAAGTAATCTACTCCTTCACATCCTCCAAATGGAGAAAATCACAACTGAAATCACACAGATAAACAGGCCTTAATGCACCTAGTATATTGAGCATAGGCATATAGAAGTTGATCCAACTCCTTGCAACAGACATTCCAACCACTGTCCGGTAAAATTTAGGGAGACTGCTGAGTGAATTGAAATCTATAGTTCTTCTGGGAAAAAATAACAAAAATTAAGTCTTCTGAAATGGCATTTCCTGCTAAGTGATCCTATAAATTGCCATAAAGCAACTTCAAAAGTGGTCAAGACAGACTATTATGTTGCTAAAAACAGTATATTTATAATTTTTTATGATATTTCCTGAATATTCTGAAAAATCGGGAGAATTTGATAAAAATCGGGAGAATTTGATAAAAATCGGGAGACCGGGAGATTGCATGAATTTTGGGGAGACTCCCGGTAAAATTGGGAGAGTTGGAATGTCTGTTGCAACCAGCCACCATGTTCCTACCCAACCTTGTGCCCAGGGCCTTTGCACGGTTCAGAGGCTCAAAGGCAGTGGCGTAACTACTAGGGGCCCAACCTGGCCGAAACCAGGGGCCCTGGAGAAGCAACTTCTTAGGGGGCCCTTGACCTTGTCTAATATCAAATAATACAAATATTATATTTTATGTGAAAATATGATATATTTATATGTTTGTCTTAGATGCAAAAAGCTCTATATAACACCAATGTTCAATTGTAACGAGTTTATACTATAATTTTTAAATCGACGTTATTTGATAGAATTTTCAACATGTCAAGTGAAAGTATCGTTTATGTTATTTGATAATTATTTTAATGCACCTTACGTCCTCGCCTTGTGTTTCCTCGTGTTATTAATTATTTGCCTACGAACTAACAAAAGGTATGCATTATTTATCTTTTTGACTTCAAAGTTTTATTAAAATTGAGAAAATTAATTTAAAATATCTTGAGTCGTAATACAATTTAGGTACCGCGCGAATCTGGGTCCCTCGTATTGAAATTAGCGAATTTGCATGCAAATTTGCCTATGTTTCAGTAAGATAACCTGATAAATCACGTCTTTCTTTTCACGACCGGATGGTCATCAAGAAAAGACTATATACGAGCGATAAAAACAGATTACCCGACATCAGGACTGAAGCTCCTGAAACAATATAGTAAAGGTCTAAAGGACGTGAAAGCAAAGAGAAATCTGAGGCTATAGTGATAAGCACTCTGGAATTTCTTCTTTCACTTATCATCTGGGAAAATATTGTTACTGCACTTAATCTTGCATCTAAAGATATGCAAGCATTTGATATGGATCTTGACAAATCATCCTCCAATCGGAAAGAGCACTAAATTCATGCAGATAAAGATCGAAATAAGAATGGGAAAAGATTTTTAAAAATCCACTATCCTTGCTCTTAAGTTTGGACTTTCTGTTTCATTTGTTGAAAAAAGAACAAGAAGGGTTCCCAGATACTTTGACGAAGGGGCCACAGACAAGCTTATCATTAACGCAAAAACAAAATTTCGTGTGGAACTGTTCTTTCCAACAATTTATACTATTACTTTAAAGCTAGAAGAACGTTTCAAAAGCCAGCATTGGAAGATGGCAAGAAAATAGGAAGTGCAGCTCGCGTATATATACGTACTCAAGTATTATTTGTGAAAACGAAATGACCAGCACCTATTCCAAGTTGGTATCAGCAATAGTTATTTTTCTTTCTCTGCCCGTTACTGTTGCCACTGCCGCTAAGCGATCATTTAGTAAACTTAATATTATAAAAAACTATTTAGGATCCACAATGGCATAGGAAAGATTTAATGCACTTGTTGTAATTTCTATATTGAAGTTGAAGAGGCAAAAAAGTTTGAAATTTACAAAACGATTGATATCTTTGAAGAGAAAACGACCGGATCAACTAAATTTAACAGTTAACTGAAACTGTGAAACAATTTGGTTGCAATTTAAATTGTGTTTGCTTACACCTTGTCAGTGTATTAATTGTTATGAACTATATGTTGTTGTTGCTGTTGCTGGTGCTGTTGCTGTTGCTGTTGCTTATAAGCAATAGAAAATGGAGCTGGTTTTTTTACTGTGTTTACATGCAGGGTTATAATTGATGTAGTAATAGTTATATTCAGTAGCTATAATATACTCTTGCAAATTTTGTTGCAGAATTTGGTGCAATATTTGGACCTCGTGTTCCTCATGTTCGTCCAAAATCCAATTCGTAGGGTTAGCATTGTAAGAAAATTCGGGGAAGATGTATAATTAAGGGGCCCTCTAAACTACTTCAACCGGGGGCCCATAACTGAAGATTTACGCCACTGCTCAAAGGCCCTGGGTACGAGGTTGGTTCCTACCTGGGGCGCTTGAAAGAGAGGCTGTCACCCTGCATCCCCAAAAACATTCAAAATGGCAGGCTGGTTTTAAATATATTAGAGACCAGTGTGGAAAGTTTGTATCACACAACCTGGATATCGCGTGCACAAATATGATGCTTTCTATATATTTACTATTAATTTTTTTGAATCTCGGTTGTGCAATTTCCAAACTTTCCATTCAGAATTACAGAGGTTCAGATTTGGCTTCCACTACCGCTACCTATCACAGGTTTTATACACATTTGGTTGGTTAATCGGGTAGAATAAATGCATCTGATTGGTTAAATGTAACAGTAGCTGTAGTGGAACTCAAAGTCTCTACCGGTATTCTGGGGGGTGGGAACATTGCTGCATGCAGCTTGTATGGCAGATGGAAATAGTTTTTTTGATGAGTCAGACCTCTATATGGTATATATATATTCTGTGGCCTTAGGCTAGGCCATTGCCAGTATAGAGCTTGTTATTTCTCAGGTAATGATGATTGCATGATCAAGGATTAAAACTGATATTGTTGATCTTCTCAGCAATAAAACTGATGATAACATAGATGCAAGACCTAACCCTATAGTTACCCATACATATAAACCTAATTAATGCCAACAGTACTTCATGTACTGATTAATGCCAACAGTATACTTCATGCCTGCATGCAGATTTTATATGTTTGTGGTATTACAGTAAGCATCATGGTATCCTGGAACCACCAAACAAACAAAACCCAGTAGCCTGGGGCAAAACATTCCTACTGTACTTTACAAGAAATCAAAGCTTCAACTCACAGAAGGAGGTTTTAACTGTTAAAAGGATGTTCTGATTTACCCACATTAATATGGCCTGAATAAATGAGAACAAATTTGAAGCTCATTTGACTGTAAACCACCAGGACGAACAGGATAGTCACTCATGACATGAGGAAATTAATGAAGATGAATCGAGATCAAAATGAATCAATTGACATTAGAACATGATCGAGGACCGAACCAATCAAGAGATCTTAAGAATTAAATGGAACTATGAATAGGGCTGTACATCAATGAAGAGGAACGTACGTTATCAGAAATCGAAGTTCTATGATCCTTTTGCATTCACCCACCAGCTTCACAGATTCAGTTATGACTAAAGTTTAGCAGACACAGTAGTAAATAGTGATATATCTTTATGTTCCAATGGCAACAACAACATAAGAATATGCAAATTTGTCACAGCACGGCACTAAGTGAAAAACAATTCCAGGATAACGGCAGCCACCTGAGTTCTAATCTTCAGACAACTGATGATAAAGGGAGAAATCAAAGTGTGGAAGCAGCTGATCCAACTGAGAGTCAATCAACAAGGTCCAAAGCCTTATCCCCTCATCGTCGTGGCAACACTGCTCTGGGGTAGATAATCCAGCATACATCACAACTCTAGCACAGTGGACCCAAATGGCTGTCGGAACAATAAATTGCAATTCTCTGAAGGATTCATTGATGATTTAAATTTGCTCACAGAAGAATGTTTAAATGTTTAGGCAAGATGAAGATGCCACACACAATTCACAGATTGCACTGTTAAGTATTAACTGGAGTGACAGAAGAGAACTAAGGGAATTGTGAATGTCCTTAGATTTGTGCGAAAGTTTTTAAAGGCCAACAAGTTAAAGGCCAAAATTGAAAACGCTTGATCTTATGAATAGTTGAACAGTTCCTGGACAGAAAAAATGGATCCAGCTGAAATACGCTCACTGGAAAGTGTAAGTTTCACTTAACGGACATCCGAAGTACAATGACTGGAAAAGGCAATTCGGCATGTTCACTGGCAAGAAGGGGGTTAGTCTCTCCGTTGAGAGTCTTAGCTTGTGGAGGGGCTTGCTTCATTTTTAAGACCTTTGAAAAGTGGAAGCCTGTTATGTTAAGGGCCTGGCAAAAGTTGCTGCCCCTCCCCCCTAGTCCCCCAGCTTGACAAATTTAAATTCATTTTACGCCATTGTACATGCAGCCCAAGGCCAAGACATCATGTCATGATCATTATCATATTCATTTAGGATTAGTCAGTTGTCAACAGACAATCAAACAGTGGTCAACATGAATGAAGAAAAAAATTTGCAAGTAAGAGATGAGTTGATTAGTTCAAAATATTTAATAATTATAACTTAAGAAAGCGAATTGCCTTGTTGAACATATTTATTGATTATAAATGGATAGGTAAGTGCTGCATTTTTCGCAGTCGTTCCTCGTCAGGTCTTAAAATGTATATAAATTATACTCGCTTGGATTACAAACCCTAACATTCTAATATTAATTCCACCAAGTGAAGTGCAAGAAACCAAATCATTGAAGTCCACCTTATCACAACACGCACACCCGATTACCTATATATACATGAACTTACGGTTACAGCTCAACAGCTGGCCTCTGTAGCTCAGTTGGTTAGAGCGCTGCACCGGAATCGCAGGGCCGTAGGTTCAATTCCTACCAGAGGACCTTGTGCTGCATTTTTCGCGGCTCAGTTGGTTAGAGCGCTGCACCGGAATCGCAGGGCCGTAGGTTCAATTCCTACCAGAGGACCTTCTGCTGCATTTTTCGCAGTCGTTCCTGGTCAGGTCTTAAAATGTATATACTTCACTTGGATTACAAACCCAAGCATTCTAATACAAATGCTTCAGTCACGCTGTACTGTATTTAAAACGCCCAAAGTGTGTTAAATAGGGTCGCGCTGTGTTTAAAATCCTTTTTGAAAGCGTTCGCCAATTGATATTCCTGTACATAGACCTAGTACAGTAGTTCTATTACTTACATATAAATTTCAGGACGCTACTGAAAATCACCTCGGCGAGTTAGGCTTCCTGTTTAAATATTATTACATCCAAATTGACAGTCCAGTAAATTCCAAATTTAATGAAAAACTTTTTATTAAATTTATATTCTTAAAATCCTTTATTGAGTACTAGTGAGTTTGGTTTATATACGAATCTTGATCTGATGTTTTAGGGCATTAGAATAAACGTCAAACAAAAACGATGTCGTAAAAAGAAGAAAAAGAAGAAGAGTAAGTGACATACCAGTTCAATAAAGTCGCGTTATCGACACTTCAAAAACACCCTGGTTACAAATTTATTGGTTAATCTAAAATTAACACTGTTTCGGGTATGTTCCCGGTTAAATTTCCTGGTTAATTTAACCACAGTCCTGGTTAATTTGATCACTATTTAACCACGATTCTAGGTTAATTTATGGTTGAACTAACCAGTTTATGTTAGGTGGATTATTAACCAGAATTTCTTGGTTAATAGTCCACCTGACATAATCTGGTTAATTGCACCATATGGCCTGGTTAAATTAACCAGGAATCCTGGTTAAATTAGACACGATAGTCATAATTTAACCATTAGGTTACCCCAAACATTGTTAATTTTACATTAACCAGGAAAATGGCAATGCACAGATAGAGATCTGCAAATTTACCACTGGTTTAGAAAAGGACGCACATGCACCCATAAAGATCGACTAGAACAACTGTATAAAAACATGACTAGGGTCGCCAAGAGGTTGTGCGGGACCCGGGGCAAAACTTTCCCAGGGGGCCTATGACGTCATAATTATAAAATAGGAGAAGCAGTGTTTTACATTATATTATACTTTATTGCATATTATGCGGCACTGACGCAGCTAGGATTTATATTCTTGGTTAAGCAATCTTGTATCAAGAAAATTTATGTGTCTCCGTTGCTTTGGGGGCCCCTTTTCAGCTGGGAGACCGGGGCAGTGCCCCCAACCACCAGCGTTTTAACAATATTGCCCCCGCTTTTTTCTAGATTGAATTTAAACTTAATGCCAGCCACCTTATAGAAAGTCTTGCTTGATACTGATATGCCTGAAACCCCTTGTCCAAGCCCTGCCCCCGTAAGTATTTGCCTGAAATTTATTTCTGCAAAAGACAATTGATTTGAATGCTTTATTATCTTGTTGTAGGTGCGTTAAAAGTTGAAAAAAGAGCAGCAGCTCGTATTGGGCAGAACTGTTTGTTCGTCTGTGGACTGGTCAGTCTGACTGTAGTTTATACTTTGTAGATAATTCAAGGTGCGATAATTCACGTACTTATACTGTACGTACCGGAGGTACGCCAATATTACGATCCGGTACTTCTTTGTTTTCAGCCACGTATCACGTAGGTACGCGGAACTGTTGCTATCTGCCTACTTACTTTTTGCTGGTACCACATGACCTTTCCTAGCCCAAGCAATTCAATACCGTAATTTAGTTGGTATATCATGTGTCTGAGTTTTCCTGGCATGAAGTACGATTGGACTGATTCGTATACCAGTCAGGTACGACTAAAAATTTTGAATTATCGCACCCTGCAGGATATTAATTAAGGTCCACGCACGTGCACCGGACGCGATTCGGCATCGCGACGCACAGGGACGCCGGAACTGGGGGGCAGGAGGAGTAGCCGCCCCCGTTGCCCTTTACCAGGAGGGGTAAGGGGGGCAAAGGTGCCCTTTCAATTTAAAGGATTGCCTTGGCGAAATAGCGAATTGACAGAAATGTTAGTGCAATTCTTTTACGAATTTGCTTCAGAAAACGCAAGAAATGCAGTCATCGAGCTTCAAGAATAGCACAATCGCCTGGCGGAGAACCCCCTCACACCATTATCATCCAATAAATAGAAAACATGATTAGGCGAAGTTCAACTCCTGATATATGTTTTGCAAACGTCTCTTAGTATGTCAATTCAAAAGTGCCCTTTAACGAAAATCTGCCTCCCTTTCCTCCCTTGCCTTCACATCGTTCCGGCGTCCCTGGCGACGCGAATTTTTAGTTTTTGAAAGTTAATAAAACAGCCAGTGAGAGCAAATTTTAAAAGATATGTAGACCAAATAACTCAAAATGTTATAACGCTAGGAACTAGGATCAAAGTTATCGGTCAGTGAAAATCGAAAAATCGCGTCACGTTGTCGAATCGCGTCCGGTGTGTCTGGACCTTTACAATAATAAACAGTAGCACGCCCATGTAAAATTACACGGATTGCGTGATACTGACAAAACAGATGCATGCACAGTATTAAATATATATAAAACCATTTTGCATACTGGTTTACCTACTAAAAATACTTGTTTCAGAGCACTCGTTCGAACCAAATTGAACTGCAAACTGAATTTGAAAAGTAAGTTTCATCTGGTATTAATAGTATACTGCAGAATAAGTATTGGACTCTATGTTAGTTGCTCGTACTGTTGCATTACAATACAGCTCAATGTAATTGCAAATGCAGGTTACATAAAAGGGACACATATCTTTTGTTAAACGGTACAACTAATACATTAGCGAGGTTCAGATTCGACTTCCACCACCGCTACTATTAAGGGACAATTGACCAATCAGATGCACGCGTTTCATATATCCGATTAACCAATCAGATGCGTTACTAAGCCAGTTAGAGGTAGCGGTTGTGGGAATCAAATCTGAACCTCTCTACTATTCTTAATCTTCGGCGCATCCCACGTATCGGTATATCCAGTTCTATAGGAGATAAAGAACTTTTTATTGAATAGATTCGGGAAAATCAAGAAAGTAAAATTGATGAGAAATTTGAAAAGTGGAAAATCGAGGCGTTATGCATTCATACAGGTAATTTGTCGAAATCCCAGTGTGTTGATGTTTTTCATGCCAAGAGACGACAATTACAACGGTTATAAAGGTTTTTCGTCGTTCCAAAAACGTTCTATCACAGCTCATTCAGACTAAATTGGATACTTTTCCGCACACGTCGAAAACTGGACTCTGTAGCTCAGTTGGTTAGAACCGTTAGAGCGCTGCACCGCCAATCGCAGGGTCGATTCCTGTCAAAGGGGCTACAGACGTATTGTTGCTCCTGGTTAGGTCTAAATGTATAAAATTTACACCCAATATTTCCATCTACAAAATCCTTCAACAAATTAAACTTCAGTGACAGTGTGGATTTTCGGAGAACGCAGAATACAAGATGGAATACTTTTAACTTATAAGAAATGCTTTTAACTTTTTTTGAAAGAATGTAATTTAATTATACTATCGTACTACAGCTTGGACCTTGGTTTTTGAAGACCGTGAAATACAGTGTAGATCGTTGTAAATAGTTTCACTGGAATAATTTATAAGCAATTTTTTTCACTGCGTATCATCGTATATCATTGAAAAATAATAATACTTACCATTTAAAATACTGAAACACTAGAATAATTACGTCACTTGTTTTCACTGCGAATCTCGGTATACCCAAAAATAAACATTGGACAGCTGATTTAGAAAAGACGACGAGGCAAATACGACGACGCAGTCTCAATTTCAGTTCAATATTGAGAGCTAAGGAACTTGATTACTGTAATAAATTGAAGCTTTTTAAAATATAACCTCACAAACGGCTAAGTTCAGGAAAAACGATCCGGTGTTTGCTACATATGTAGGAGACATATTTTATGTAACTCCTCCAACATTGCAAGTATTCACGTTGCTCCAGTGACGTGAAATCTTTAGTTTAACTTTGGTTTCAGAATGACAACTTTGAGGATACCCCTGCAACCACAAGTTGTTCAAACTTTTTGTTTCGCAAAGAATTTCTTTGTTTTCAAAGGCGCGTCTTTCAGTTCGCGTCGCGTTTTCTAAATCAGTCTACTGTCAGAAATGGAAGGGTGTTCTATAATGTTAATCAAGTTCTCTGACAGGAAATGAACGATAAAATAGCAGGCCACTCAACATGCAACCAGTTTCCCAAAACTTTTCGACGCAAACTCCGGGAGACAGCTGATATACCGGACCATATGCCGTGGTAAAGAAACTTGTGTCTCTCTATACATTTTATAGTATGACGACCATGAATCGTTTGATAGAGCTTACCAACATTCGAGGAAAACAGATGTACTCGTGGATGGCGTAAAGGTACATAAAGTATATTGTTATCATAGTTGAAAATAGCGGGTGGATACCACTACCCGTTCACGTTGGTTAACACTGAAGAGTAGTTATACTTCTTCTAATTTGCAGGTATTGGTTGACCACACAAAGTGTAGTCAAATCAGTGAACATAGGACTCTATAGTTCGTACAATGAACGTCATGAGACTTCAAAATATCATGATTTACAGATTTAGTATTTCAGTTTGTCGTTACCTGACGTTTGATGCATTGTAAATACTGTATATCAATATACTGTAATTAACAACATTATTTATTACTGTATATATGTTGGGAAACACCCGGAAAAGAAGGTTGGTTGCATGACAGATGACTTTGATTGGTCGACATTATTTCTAAAGGTTGGCAATTATTTCTGAAGAAATTGGGATGAAGAAGTTGATAACTGCTCACGGTGTTCTTGGTGATACGGTACCTCATCGAAGTTGATTTAGCGAATGATTTACGAGTGTGACGGACTGGACCGTACTTCAGAAAACTCACAAATAGCATTCGTTTTCTTCGTGCTCCTTACACTTGTGATAAGTATTGTATTTTAACCAGATAATGCACAACATTTATTTTGACAGTTTTTTATTCATATACTTTGCTTTAATATTTATTTGAAAAGATATAATAATACCCAATGTCCATGCTTATGAAACATGAATATTGTTCTGAAAAATTGGTGGAAATAACACACGATTCGGCTCTTCCGGTCCAAACAACGAGTAGGTCTTCTGTGGTATTTCTCGACCATTTGCTTCCCTTGAGGATTTGAAAAAGCTGGGTAAGCCAGTAATATTTGAGTACGGGCTTGACGCCGCAGCTTGCGCCCGATTGTCAGGCTTCTCCGAGAACTTGAGGGGGACATCAGTCAGGAGGTTTGGGTCGGAATCTTTGAGGGTATGACTACTTTTTGTCATGTGTTGATTCATGTACTGATTCTTTAATTTCACTGATGTGGAAACAACCGGATTACGTAATTGATTGAAGGGTGTACTTGGTCTTTTTCGCTGTTCTAATATGACGTCATTGTTCAATCGGAAGTGACGGTTACCTTTTAATTGGTCGTTATGTTTGTCGGGATTCCATCGTGGTGGTACATACTCTGGTACTTTCCATACTGAAGGGGGAGGACTAGGAGGCTTACTGTCACTTAAGTCCGGGCTCGCTGAAGCTTTCTCTCGGTATAAGGCATCCCCAGCAGAAATAACATTCAATGGGGTTACCACTGAATCGTTTACAATAACTGGAGTGACACTAGACTTGCGATTATTTGATACTCTGTTTGTTGCTGTTATCCACCCCTTTTGAGCGACATGCGGTTTCTTTGACTTGGCCTGAAAACAAGAAATGTAAATAAGTTCCTTGTAGGTTTGCATGGTGGAAAGCACCACGTTTTCGACTGAGACATGTGAATTTGTTCCATGTGAGAGAGGGGATCATACCGGGTTGGTTTTCTGCTATTGGATCAGTTTTCAATTAACATGTAAAAAGGTGTTACTGTATGAAATTAACAATAGCGGCGTGCCTGAAATTGTATCAATACAAACAAAGTAATAGAGTTCTGATGTTTAAAAGAAGACGTTTATCCCATCCCACCAAATGCAAGGTAGTAGAGACAAGAGTATATTTCCTTCCACCCTCACTCTGGTATCAATTATGATTAAAATCATAGACAATCCGGAAGACAATCCTGAATATCTTCTGTACAGAATATCTTCCGAATTGTCTATTTTGAAATCAACTTACTCTTTCACTAAGGGACGTTTGCTTCTCGCTTTTTTCGTCTTTTATTTTACGACGACGTACTTCCTCCTATAAACAATAGATCCAATTATCAATTTTTGGTCATAGAGTTTTCAACACAATGCAAGTACAGCAGAACTTCAAATTTTCTTAAGCAAACGTTTTGGAAAATGAGCAAATTTAATTAGGGGTGCACCGGATTCCAAATCCGGCCGGATTTAACGAATTTTCCGGTATCCGGCCGGATTTGGAGAAAATCCGGCCGGATTTAAATTTCTGTTTTCGCCTTAGAAAATTCACCAAGATCATCAATTTGGCAGCTTTAAAGTTTAAAAAACACTTATATTATTATAAAATTTTAAGTTATGAACAAAAAATATTTTAAAAAGGTTTAAACACAATCAAAAATCTAAACTTGACACTAACTAAAAATAGTAAAAAACATAAACCGCCATTTTGAATACTGATTTATCCCCAATTCACAACTTGCGCTAACGCAAAGCATCATGGTAGTTTAGTTATCACGGCAGAATTTGCATGATGGCGGCTGTTCACTTTGCAACTATGTTTGCAACATGCGGCTAAATCGAGGAATGCACATTTGCCCGACGCCATCTTGAATCATTATTAACTAGGGACATCTGTGGTTATCTTATGATAATAATGAATTAGTGAAATGGTTATCCATTAAAGTGCTCCTGTATCCCTTGTCTACATCCGTAGTTTATTTCTATTGTCAGCTGGGAAGTAAACACGCGA